ATGTTGGATTAGAATACAACATACAACATGCAACAACTTAACAATAAATAAGGATCAAATAAAATTTATCATGAAGTTGATATGAACGAAGTTCAAAACACCCACTCATATGTCTTAACTAGGGTTACATTTTAATGATGGGTAGATAAGGCTTTAACCTAAGGTTGGTTTCTTATGCTTTACTACATGCAAGGCTAGGTAATTTTGACCATTAAAGGTTTCCAAATTGTTTCTTACATCGTTGTTCGTCACAGACTAATAAGGTATTCTAAACCTCACCCATTATAGGCTACAAACGAAAATGATTCAATTTGAGTGAGTATTTTTTTAGTCATTACGAAGATTATTATCTTACGAGAGCGTATATACTTTTCTCTTTCCTAAGAAAGACAACTCGGGTATAGAGATCATGTAATATTATGTATGAAGGAACACATATATCTTTATTCTCAATTTTCACAAACCAAGTCAAAGAATGCAAACAATAAAAATAAATGCAAACAAATGATTAATAATTTAATATCAAGCAAACAAAAAAAATTAGGATAATTTAAAATTAATTAATGGTCTGACTCTCAGCGTTTCTAGTGGAGCCATCAAACTGTCGTAATGTATAGATTCATAGATCTATAGCTAGACACAACCTAAAGAGTTCCCACCAATCTTTTATTAAGGTATGATTGGTCACCTAGTGAATCTATCTTTTTAAAAAATCTTGAGGTTGAGTAAGGGTCCTTAAAGAATAAGTTCTAACATTCTAAAAAGAACTAGATTCAAGAATTCAGTTACATCTAAGGAAGGTTATAGCACCCTTACAATGCCACCCTAAAAGATGTTACCATTTAATTTAAAATTATCCTAAAAGTTTATAGTTCTAATAGTCTTAAATTTAATATTGGAAATAACTTTCAAGATTTTTTATTAATATGGTAAAATTCTTAAATATACTTTCTCACCTCAAGAGTATTTAAGAATCACATTTGTCTTTTTAAAGAGGCTTTGTCATCGGAATCATTTATTTTTTGTTAAATTTTTTGTTATTAAAAATATTTATAATTTTTTCACCATTTAGGTTTAATTAGAAAAATTTTTTCATCTAGAAATATCTTAGATAATCATCCATTTGCGATTACTAAACATTTTATCCTCGAACTTTGTTGGTGGTGAGGGGTTTTTATCTAGACCAACTATTATAACGTATAGATCTGTAGACTTATAGCCAGACATAACCTAAGAAGTTGTTACTAATTTTTTATTATGGTATGATTGGTCACCTAGGTGGATTTATTCTCTTAAGGATGCTCTAAGCTTGACTAAGGATTCCTAAAAGAATAGGGTCTGATTTGCATTTTAGAACTAAGTTCAGGAGTTCGATTACGTGTGAAGAAAGTTGTAGCATCCCCATAATGCCCATCCTAATATAGTACCATTTAATTTAAAATTAATTCTAATAATAATTTTGGTTCTAATGGTCTTTATTTTAATGTTGGAAATAACTTTTACAATTCTCTATTAATTTGATAGAATTCTTAAAAATAGTTTCTCATTTCAAGACCATTCAAGAGTCCCATTTGTTTTTTTGAAGAGGTTTTGTCATTGAAATCATTTACTTTTGTGTTAAATTTTTTGTTATTAAAAATATATATAATTCTTCTATCATTTGAACCTAATTAAAAATATTTTCTTACCTAGAAATGTTTTAGATAATCATCTATTTGTGATTACTAAGTATTTCATCTTTGGAATTTATTCTTTTTATTTTACAAATTTTATTTTTAAAATTTTCATCATTGGGTCTAATTTAGAAATATTTTTCCTAAAATTTGATCTTTATTTATTCATCACTTTAAAAATATTATAACATCTATTTTTGTGAAATCTCAACTAAATTCTTTCACAATTTGGGTTGAATTTAGAAAGAAACCTTTCACCTAAAAATCTCATAGAACTTTAGTCATTTGTGATTTTTTTAAAGATTTCATCATTAGTTTTATGAAGGATTTTAATTTCAAAGTTTATTCTATTATTTTTAAAAATTTCTAATGTGGTTATTTTATACTTATAATTTTTGTTATTAAGGTGTGATTGGGCGCTTAGTGAATTTATCATTTTAAAGAAATCATAAACTTGACTAGGGGTCCTTAAAGAATAAGTTCTGACTTTTTAAATAGAACTAGGTTTAAGAGTTCAGTTACATGTGAAAAATGTTATAGCACATCTACAATACCTATACTAAAAGATGGTATCATTTAATTTTAAATTATCCTAAAGGTTTGTAGTTCTAAGAGTTTTAAATTTAATATTGAAAATAACTTTTAAAATTCTTTATCAATCTAATAGAATTCTTAAAAATGCTTTCTCATCTTAAGTATTTAATAATCCTATTTGTCTTTTTAAAGAGGTTTCGTCGTCAGAATCATTTAATTTTTTGTTATTAAAACTATATTTAATTCTTTCTCTATTTGAGCTTAATTAAAAATATTTTCTTACCTAAAAATATCTTAGATAATCAGTCATTTACGATTACTAAGAATTTCATTATCTAAATTTATTTTTTTTATTTTATAAATTTTATTTTTAAATCATTTGGGTCTAATTTAAAAAATTTTTTCTTGAAATTTGATCGCTATTTATTCATCACTTTAAAAATATTATAATAATTATTTTTTTGAAGTCTTATTTAAAATTTTCGAATTTGAATTGAATTTAAAAAGAAACTTTTAACCTAAAAATCTTATAGAACTTTAGACATTTGTGATTTTTCTTGAGATTTTATCATTTATTTTATGAAGGATTTTAATTTCAAAGTTTATTATATTATTTTTAAAAATTTCTATGTGGTTTTTTTATTCTTATAATTTTTGTTATTGAAATTTTTGCTTAAAAATTTTACCATTCTAAAAAATTTGAGAAAAAACGTTTAAGTTTCACTTAGAAATTCAACCATCTTGAACGTTTTAGAATTTCATTATTAGATATTAATTCTCCTAAATTTTCGTTGCACAAGTCAAGAGATTTATTTTACAAATATATCTTAATTGAAAATTTTTATGCCTACCAAAAAAATTTTCTAATTTAGAAATTTAAAATTGAATAAAACCCTGCATTCTAAATGAACACAAAAAACAAGATAATTTAAACAACAACGCTGTGAGCTGGTGATATGAGTCAAACCTTACTTACCTGGGTTGGTCGCGAGGCTCTATGTCCGAGGCTGTGGGTCTCTGAAGTCTGAACTAAAGTCTTCGAACCAATTTATTTGCTTTATCAAATTACTCTCTTTCTTAGACTCTTTGTCAAGGGCACTCCTCTCCCTGTTTCTTTTCTATTCAAATAACCCATAAGCTGGTGACTTTTCTGATCTGTCTTCTCCTTCTCTAAATTTGAAAAATCCTCCTGAAATTGCTCTATCCAAATTCAAAACCGTGGGCCTTCACCCTGTTTCTCTACCTCCATGTAACTCCAATCTTCAACACATAAATCACCGAATTATTCCTGTTCTCACCTCTTAGCCTGTGTCAATTCTTTCTAGGATCTGGTTTTCTGGGATTGGGCACTATATGATGGATTTTCTCCCCCGTGTTGTTGATCGCTCTGTAATTGCTACCCTATGTTAATCTGTACATTGGTTTTTATAGGACAGTGTCTTAGTTATGATCGATTCCTAATTTCTTTCCAAAACAATCTCATCACTGGATTAAAACATTATCTTAAAGAAAATCCCCTTTTTTTTTTCAATCATCATGTGGGGATAAAGATTCACAATCATCCTCTTTTTTATTTTTTATTTTTATTTAAAACCACTAATCAAATAATATTCAAAGATAAATACAAATTAATATAAATAAAAAATAAATAAATATAAATCAGAAAATTAATAATAAAATAATCCATAAATAAATAAATAAAAACATATAAAGATAAAGATAAAACATAAAAAAAATCTAACCAAAAAATAAAATAAATATATAAATAAATAAAATTGGGCTTAGATTGGATTACGCCCAATTAATTTAAGTCTGAACCAAATAAAGTATCTATAGACACAAACATTATTTTTGGAATGTTGTGGTTTCAATTCTATTGTTGTGGAAAGTGATACATTGTTAGTTATTTCTTAGATATTAAAAGCTGAGGAATCGGTATGGCATGGGGCGGAATCATTCACGATATTTGGGACCAAAATTTGGGGTGTGATAGCTGTTGTTTCCTGCATGTAGAAGGTTGCTAATTCTCTACCTTATAGTTTAGTCAAGCTTGACTGTGAAGCAGGATCTCGGTTAATGTGTGAGGGGTCTCATCCTCCTCAATTATGTAATGCTGTTTCTACATGATACTAAAATTATTAAGGGGCCAAGTGAAAGTAGTTTATAGAAAAATTAGCGAAAATAAGTATTAGTTTCTAAGATTTCAAAAACCAAGGAGTTCAAGTATAGTAATTATGTTAAAACCTTTACCATTAATTAACTATTAATTAGGTTTTGTATATAAATAATATTTTTAGTTGTTTTCCTTTTTTCTTTACACGTTATTTTACTGGTTAACAATCTAGTAAAGTAGAAATAATTAATTCATAAAAAAAGTAGTAAATAATATTTTTTATATATAGAAAAAAGTGGTTAATAATTAACTAATGGTGATGAGGGTATTTTAGTATCCTCATTCAGCGCTCACAATAAACCGTTGTTGTAAAATTAAGTGGTTACATATTCGAGTAAGAAACGAGTGATTTGGCCATGGTCTGCGTTGTGGAAGCATATTCTATGTTGTTTGCAGGGTTAAGATCCTATCCATAGGGCTAATGTGCTTGAAGCAAATCAAATTAGATAAAACAAAAGCAATGGAGGGGAACAAAACCCAATAAAGTTAATCTTAGTCATGAGTTTTGACTATCATCATTCCTTATCATTATAGCATGCCTATGCACTGAACTCATTGTTTAATTGTATTTTCTATCTAAAGAACGAAGAGTGATCTTACCGTGATAATTATGTCAGCAGGTTGTCTATCCCAAGTTGGAGAGTTTGGATTTGTCCTCAATTAACATTCAAAGGATATGGCACGAGCAACTACTCCCATCCTCGTCATATATTGAGAAATTAGAATTCTTGAGGGTGAAGAGCTGTCACAATTTGAAATATATGTTTCCATCTTTCATGGCAAAAGATTTTGTGCAACTCCATAGCCTCAAAATTTTGGACTGTAAGATCATGGAAGAAGTAATCTTAATTGAAGGATTTCCAGAAGAGGAAAGGATGAGCCAGATGTTGTTCCCTGAACTAAATTTCCTGTCGCTCGAAGACCTTCCCAAACTCACAAGATTCTGCTTTGAACCTTACTTTAAATTCCCATGTTTGAGAATTTTAAGACTAACAAATTGTCCTTTACTGAAAACATTCATCTCTAAATCTGTAACTGGAGATAAGCCTCAAATTCATCAAAATACAGAAGGCAGTAACGTGGAGGTTGATAATTCCTCTCTCTTCAATGAAAAGGTGATTCTTCTTTTGTTTTTCCTGCTTTACCATTATTTTCTTCACTAATTATCCTTTTAATTTGTTGTGGCTTTTCTTTCATCTGTTAATTTCGTCAACCTTGTTCAGTGTTCTTTTTTTTTCTGAACATTTGATAAATTTGTTATTTTCATACGTATTTCAGTTATTAACCCAATTTAATGAATTTATTAGGTGGTTTTCCCTAGTTTAGAGGAGTTGACAGTCAAAGGTATGAGGGACTGTAGAAAGATATGGCAGGACCAAATAGGTATGGATTCATTTAGCAAACTAAAGGAAATACTGGTTGAAGGCTGTGAAACACTCTTAAATGTTTTTCCCTTGAGCATGATGGAAAGACTTGAGGAACTAGACAAGTTGGAGATTGTGAATTGTGATTCGTTAGAAGAAATAATTGACCCACGAGGACTCATTGCTAATGAATCACATGCAGTAACAGCTACTGAATCTATTGTGGTAGAAGCAGCGATTAAATTTGTATTTCCCAGAGTAACATATCTTCGACTTGATGAATTGCCCAAATTGAAAAGTTTCTACTCTAGGATGCATGCTATAGAATGGCCATCACTCAAAAAAATGGAGCTGATTTCTTGTTACAAAGTAGAGTTATTTGCTTCAAAATGCCTTTGCTTTGGAGAGACTCATTCAGAGAGTCAGCTGGGTGAAATCTCAAATAAACAACCCCTGTTTTGGGTCAATGAGGTATGAACACAAACAAAATTTGAAAATTCTTCTCATGCATATTAATTGCTCCAAATCTTCTGTAACAATTATATCATTCATTTTGTGAGATTAGTTCTTTTTATTGTAGCAAGTGTCTAATTTGTTACTATAAAACACTGGCAGTTTGCACTTTGCACATAAAATGCTTACTAAAACAACTACTGTTCTCATCTTCTCTCAATTAGAAGAAAGAAAAAGGAAATGTTAATTTAATTCTTACCAAGAGCTTTGTTGGATATTAAATTATATGTTGCAATTATACTCTTAACATCCTTTACCAATTGAAACTCTGTTGTTTGACACATTTGTTAATATACAGGATACTTTCCCTGTCTTAAAAGAATTGACATGGAAGCGGAACGATATGATGAAAGGGATATGGCATGGACAAGTCTCATTGGAGTGTTTCAGAAAACTAGAAGTTATTAACCTCGAATGCTTTCCTGACACATCAACAGCTGCTCTTCCATATTGCTTCCTTCGGTCATTACCCAATCTAGAGAAGATTGTCTTGAATGAAGCTTCCTTCTGTCAAATATTCCAGTTTGAAGGGATCAGCGATGAGGAAAGACATACATCAGCACTCACTCAAATAAAGAAATTGAGGTTGTCTAAACTTCCAGAGTTGACACATCTCTGGAAGGAAGAATTCAATCCTAGAGCAACTTTATGTAACATGAGAATTCTTGAAGTGCTGGAATGTGGACAATTAAAGTCTTTAGTGCCATCATCGGTGTCTTTTGAAAATTTAACAACTCTGGAAGTTTCAAGATGTCATGGATTCGTCAATTTAATAGCGTGCTCAACAGCTAAAAGCCTGATGCTACTAGAAAGAATGAGCATAACTGATTGCAAGATGATAGAGGAAATCATAGCTTGTGAGGGTGAAGAAATAAAAGGTGGCATTATTTTCACCAAACTGAAGTATCTGCGGCTAAGTTGTCTACCAAGTCTAATAAGCTTTTGCTTAGGGGATCACATCTTTGAATTCCCGGCCTTGAGAAGGGTAATTGTAAAAGAGTGCCCAAAAATGAAAAATTTCTGTGAAGGAGTTTTAAGCACACCAAAGCTGCAACAAGTGCAATTGACAGAAGATGAAGATGAAGATGAAGTAAAAGTGCGGTGGGAAGGTGACTTTAAAACTACTGTAAAACAGCTGTTCGAAGAAATGGTATGTGTCAATTTAAAGGATTTTCCTATGTTTTTCTAGTTTTTTATTTCTTTAAATTTTCAGCCAAGTTTGCTTTTCCCCATCCCACCAAAAGTACTGGTGCACTGATTTGTAAACATAAAGCTATCAACATAAATGAGTATAATCTGAAGCTATAAACATAAAGCTTTTAGTGTCTTCTTTTTAATAATGTAAATGATTGTAAAAAGTTATTTGGTGCATTTCCGGACATAACTAATTGATCATTTCTTGGTTTTACCTTTCCATGTTGTTGTTTCTTACAATCCCAGAATGTCCAAAATTCTGAAGTGACAGAGGTGACCCATCAGTTGGACAAGCTGGAATAAGGCAACATGTTTTGGTGCTTGTGAGACAATCTCATTTTCCTTTCAATTCAAATCGGATGGAAAGTAAGTACCAGTTCTACGCTCATAATTCTTCATTTGTCCACTTTATTTCCCTTCATCAAAGCGCAATTTCTTTATAGAGTGACGTGGGAGTTGCCTTCTGATCGTTGAATGTTGAATTGTTCTACTGAAGTTGGAGACTGCCATTTTCCTTTAAACTCAAAAGGTTATTCCACTTTCTACGAATGCGCTATTTGAACTGTTGGATTTTATATTGTAACTTCAATTCTCAGCTTGAATTTCAGGTGCAACATGCATGGCACTGCAAATTACAACATGTATTATTTTACTTGCAAAGTCAATCAGCTTAAGACTGCGGAATTTCAAAATTACCAAAATTTGTTCTTCAAGGTTGATGGATTTTCCAATATGTTATGGATATCATTAAGTCTCTCATCCTTCATCCATTTCGACAACATTATGCGACAGAATAGTATATTCTTTTGCTGGTATTTTCTCTTTTCAATTCTTGACTTTGAACAATTCTGAGTTATTGGTTTCTTATGGTCTAATAATTTATTATAGTTTATAGCTTTCTTATCATTGGAAATTTGACTTGGTTGGATTTGATGTTCTTAATTCCTTATCAAGTGGGAGTTAGTTTCCTTATTTGACATAAAAAAGAGTCAGAGTAGCTAGAGTATTATTTTAGTTTCTCTCCACCCTCTTAATCTTTGAAATAAGTGAATCAATTTATTCTTCAGCATGATTTTTACTTATTATTATTATTTTTACATAATCCGTTTCAAGAGAGGATGCCAAACATAAAGCAGGACACTTTGAGTTTATGTGGTATGGTTATTCCCACCAATTAAGAATTGAAATTTGAACGTGAATATTGCAAGCTCATGTTCTTATGAAATCGATTAAAACAGCTTTCATAAAAAAAAAAAAAAAAAGCCCTCCATTTCTGCATTGACTTTTTTTAAAAATTTTTATGGAGAATTTTTTTTTTCAAAACAAAGAAAAAGATGGATCATTAATATTCCTTATGCTTGGTGCTTTTTTTTTTTTTTTTTCATTTTGCTATTTGTCTATTATTTTTAACATAACAATTTACATCCCCTAATCCTTGTTTCCATATCTGATGAAAATATTTGATTTATGACAAATCCAGAAGCAGAAATATGTGAATTTCTGTTCTTAGTTTTGGAATCTTGCTTTTACTTATACTAAAATCTTTTCAGTATTTAATTATAAAACTGCTCATAACAAAATGATCGGATTGTGGTTTTTTAATAAGAAAATGTTGTTGCAACTATTTGCTGGAATGATTTATTTAAGGACTAATGCTAAAATTAATACTAGATTTTGGATGGACGTCTATGTACAGATATGAAGCAAAAATGAGATCAAACTTGGCTCTTTGCCTGCGAGGCTCAGTGATAAAGATTGTTCTCCTATGGTTGAGAAAATCACTAAGAGAATCAACAATTGGACGTCCAAGCACCTATTTTATGCTGGGAGGCTTTAACTTGTCCAGTCACTTTTCTTTGGTATGCAAAACCTCTAGTGTAGTCAATTCATTGTTCCCCAAAAAGTGACAAAATAAAGTGACTCAATTCTGTTTTGCTTTATTTTGGAAGGGGATGGAAAATTCTACGATTATTAGTTGGGATTTCATTTGTCAAGGGGACATGATTTGAAAAATCTTAAGGAGTGGAATCAAGCATGTATCTTGAAGAACATCTGGATTCTCCTTACAAAATATGGCTCGTTATGGGCTGCATAGGTTTCTACTTAGGTGCTTGGGGGGGTGAGATTCTTTATAAATCTAGTCTTCCAAGAAATAAAGAGATAGTTTGTTAATTCTCTTTACTTGTATTGTTTTTCTTGGTAATGTTGTTTAGTAGAATTTTTCATCTGATAGCACTGTTTCATATAAAAGGAAAATTTTTATTATTTATTATCAAAATTAAATCATAAATAGATTTACTGTTGTTTTTTAGTAATATTTTATCTTAATTTTGATTTGGAATCATTCTAGATAATTTTGCATTGTTGATTTTTTTTTTTATCAAATCAAATTGAGTTGTATCGAGACAAAATAGAAAATTTCAACTTTAGACAGTTTTGATGGCTCGAATGATGCAAGGTTGGGTTAGTTAATTTAAGGCCATATTGATATCAAACCTCATCCATCATCTTCATGTCATGGTTATTGTTTAGCACTTGATATATGAAGAAGCATATTATCGTAGCCTAGCTGTTAGTTAGCCATTTACATAACAATAATTAATCAACATGCAGTATTACATCCTAACACCTGTAATTTTTTTTTTTTTAACTTTAAGTTGCTGGTTACGGCCTCTCATGTATAAAAAATAATCAAAATATAATTAAATTTTGGTAATATATTATAAAGATTAATATGAGTATAATGTACAAGATAATTTATTTAAACCTTTGAAAGATTAGAAACAACTATTAGATATAGAGGTAAAACAATCTTACATAGATATAAACTGAGAGTTATGTTAAAGGAATTTAATATTACAAGAATCTTTACTTAAAAGATTATCAAAGAAAGAATGATACTTTCTAGTTGTGAGTGAGTAGATGCAAAATGAGCCATTTTTGTCCCAAAAGTTTGGATCATAAATTATGTTATTAGTTCTTCTAACAACAATCATTTTGGAGAAAGATGCACCTCTACTAACGAACAAAATGTTCTTACCCAAACTTCGTACTGATTCCCATATCTTACTTGTCAGATTCAACTTTAAAACATGAATCTTTTGATCATCCTTTGTAGTGAGAATGGCTAACAATTCTTCTTCATTTTCCTCTAGAGATGCTTGAACAATTGAATTGATAGGGCGTGATGAAAAAGTCATTTTGTAGGTATCCCAACTACTGTCTATGTCTTTCAGAGCAAATACTCCTAAGTTTCCCTTGGCATCCAAACAATAGTATAATCCTTTTTATAAAACTGGATTGCAAACAGATAACCAAAACTTTACGTCGCATGGAAATTATGCATTTTTCAATTACCTTCTCCCAGTTTATGCATAAAAATGGAGACTGGATCAGCAAACCGTCCTTGGATTTCCAGAACCAAACAATCTGGAGAAGGTGGAGACATAAAGAAGATCGAATGCACCCATGAAAGCAGCTCAAGAAGTTCAATAATCTCTTTTGTCAAAGGATTGAAGAGAAATGGATGTGCCTCATCTCGAGTCATTAGTAGCCAGCCATACTTTGTAAAGCGGATTTCAGCACCTAATAATTCTGTTTGAAAGTCCAACTCACAAGTGTAATTATGTATGGGGTGAAAAAATTGGCCTCTGTCAGTATTGCCTTTGAGGATTTGGAACAACCATGAAAATGGAGAATCTGCATCATGATTGAATGGAGAAGGAAGTGGACGTGGTGGAGCAATGGGGATTGATGGCCATGTTTTGCAAATTGCACAAAAAATTGCTTTGTCCCCTGCAAAGATATTTGATGATACCAAACTTAAAAGCTCTGGTAGAAGATTGCTCCACACATCCTGATCTTTGTCCACTTGAAGCTCTTCCGAATATATCAAATCTTTGTTTTCCGTAGTTGCTGTAGCATTTACAAAAAAGTTAACCAAAAATTTGGTTATAATAAAAAAAAAAATAAAGCATATATTTATCTAGAAATAAAAAATAAATATTGTATAGTAGCATTCAAGCATTTGATTTAATAGTAATAACGCAAAAACCTCTTGTTGAAAAAGAGCAAAAGTGGGGTCTGAAACTCCCTTTTTTTCAAATCTAAAGAAAATGAAATGCTTTAGTCATGTTTGGATGTTTTAATACAGTTCGTATGTAGAAGAAGAAATCAAACTCTCAATTAAATAACCCAATTGTTGTCTTTATTCCGTTCCTAACCTGTTAGGCTCTCCAGAGAAGCCTCGGCTAGCCCTTGCTGCTTTTGCAGTAATACTATTTATCGGATGCATAACAAAACAAAGCTCTTAAGGAAACCATATTCTAATTAACTAGCTATCTCAATTAAATTTGCATAATTAATATCTCGACTTTTTTTTTTTTACATGGAAAGTGGAAACTGAGAAATTAACCAAGGAAAATAAAAACTAAAAACTATACGAGAGAAATGCTTCTAAAACATAAAAAGCGATGATCAAAATTAAAGCATGAGTGCAGAGTTAAATTTCAACAGCTAACTTAAAACTTAAGCAACTAGATTACTAGAGTACTTGGCTTGAATTTCTAAACGTTAAAATTTTTTTCTGATTCTTTATTTACTTGTTAAATCATAATACGAAAGACATTGGAGAGGAAAAATTGTGAAAGCTAAATCATAAGAAATTAATACAAAAATTGTGAAAGCCATATGCAATAAAGAAGAATTAAAGCCAATTTCCATGAAACACAATTGGTGATAATCAATTAAGAATCAGAACTAGTTAAGATGCGTAATCTTTAATTGTGGCTAATTAAGATTGATTATAAATAACAGGTTGTTGGGATTCTAGTTGGAGTTTTGCTTTCGGTTTAATTAAGCAAAGCTAGAAACAAATAATCCAAACACAGCAAATAAAGCAATACGTATAAAAAAGGAAAATTAGGGTTGATAGAGATCATACCTTACAACTCAGAAGATATAATAATAGCTTCTTTTTTTGAAAACACAATACCTGCAATCTCTCTTTTGCTGTCTTACTTCCACCCATCCATACCAAAAACATAATATATATATATATATATATATATATATATAAGGCTATGTATGTATGTGAGGCTATTATTGGGTTTTTGGCAATTAATTAATTAAAATATTTTTTGGATTTAAAATTGTAATTATGGTAGCAATAGGTATTATTAATTGTAAGCCAAAGAAACTTCTTTTCATGTTAAGATTAATTTTGTTAGGATTTGCCTTGAATCTCATGATCCCACATCAAAAGTTATAAGAGTTTTGAGTTTACCTTCTATCCTAAACCGGGAGTTTAGTCAAGGTATAAGGGGTTTCATCTTTGTAAATAAGATGTTTTGATTTTGGTTTGATAATCCCAGATAGTTAGACACCAAGAGAATAGCTAGGTAAGCAGGTTATTAAAATGATGTAATTGGGTTTTGGGTTAAGTTTCAGGTAAGGAGTTTTTGGTGACTTTTGTCATTCCAAAAGTCTCTTAGTTGTAAAGATTTATTTGTTAGTGGATTAGGTTTGAAGTAGGCCATTTTGAGTTGGGTCGAAACATGAGATTTATTTGTTAATGGATTTGGTTTGGAGTAAGCCATTTTGAATTGGGTTGAAACAAATATATTTGTGTGTTCTTATTTTTTATTTGAGCTTGCTATTTTGCTCATGGCTGCTGCTATGTGTGTTGATTGCCTAACAAGTGATATCAGAGTGAGGTTTGTGAATAAGAGAGATAGGTGAAGTAAGTATTTCAAGATGTCTGAAAAAAGTATATCTAATATGCTTATGCCTAAGTTTGAGATTTTATTATTTGATGGAAAGAGTGTCGTAATGGTTTTGTATCCGCCCGATGAATTTGGAAATAAAATAAAAAAAACAGTCACCACCAATCTTTTCTTGGCTAGGTGCGATTGGCCACCTATTAAAATTTACCCTTTTAATAAGATTTTAAAATTAATTAAAATTTATTAAAAAATAATTTTATAATCTGCGAAACAGTCTAGCTTCGAGAGTCAGTTATGCATGAGGAAGGATTAGCACCCCCATAACGCCGTTTAAAATGGTACCAATTAACTATGTGTTATCCTTTGATTTTGATAAAAAAATAATCCCATTTCGGTGTTTGAAAAATAATTTTATTGATTTTTTTATATATTAAAATTTGTTTTTTTATTTTATTTGTTCCATATTTATTGTTCAAATTTTATTTGAGAAAAATAAATTAGAACCTTTTTATTGAAATAATTCTTAAAATGTTCCAGTACGTTGGTAACATTAAAAGAACTTTTTTCACCTAGAGATTTCTTAGGCATCGCTTCTCGGAATATCTTAGAATCTCATCCTCGGAGGCTCAAATTTACTTTTAGTAAAAAATTATCTCATGCATGCAATGCAAATAATAACATGTTGATGAACATATTTTATTTTATTTTTTTAGAAATTTTATTAATTTTTTTATTTTTTAATTTAAATTTTTGAAAGAAAAAGGAATTTTTATTATATTGAAGTTTTTATATAAATATTTCATTACACTGGTAATATTTAAAAAAATCTTCTCACTTAGGGATCTCGTAAAGCATCACTACTCGGAATACTTTTAAAATTTCATCATTAGATAAAATTTCCTTTTTTATATTATTATTATTTTTAATTAATTAACTTTTACTTTTTATTAACAAAAAGAAAATTTTTATTGTATTGAAAATATTTTATAAATACTCAAATACACTAATAGTATTTAAAAAAATCTTCTTACCTAGAGATTTCTTAGGCATCACTACTCGGAATACCTTTGAATTTCATCATCGGATAAAAATTTCCTTTTCTGACATTTTATTATTTTTGGTAATATTATTAAATTTATTTTTTTATTTTTAAAGTTTATTTTTAAAATTAACAAAATTATAAAAAATTTTAAATACATATTTCATCATTTAATCTAACAAATATAATTATTTTAATATGCATAAATGTTATAAAAATAATATATAAAAAAATAAAAAAAAATTTTTTTTACTTAAACTGGACCGGTCAACGAGCGATTCGGTCTGACTGGCTGGTTCAGTAGCTCAATACAGGTTTGGTTCGGGTTCAGCGGTTTAGGGACGATTCGGTTTGGGTGAACCGGTCAGAGGCTGAAGGTGACGCGGGTCACGGGTTGGGTGCGCGGACCCTTGGTCAGGTCGACGGGTTGATGTCCGGATCCTGGGTGCTTAAAACGACGTCGTTTTGGTTTTAGTAATTTATATAAAAGGTCCTAAAATTTTTTTCGTCATTTCTCCCCCTTTTAGAAAAAAAAAACCTTTTTTTTCTCCTTTTCCAGACAAAAACCAAGGGTTGCTGGCCGATCATTTCATTGCCGTCACTGGTCGTCGGTGACAAAAGAAAAACCAAAATCTCCCAAAATATTTTTCTCAACCCCGTAAACACAGATCTGACCTCCGTTTCACCTGAAAATGTCCCAAACAGCGTAGATCGACCTTCGAAGTTGCGACCAAACTTTTTTTTTATTCTAATTTTTTTTACTGACTTTTCTTTCCTCTTTGTTTGCAAGGAACTCTCGGTGATAAGTTCCTCCCTACGGGAAGGACTAAGTGGTTTTTGTTTTTTTCTTTTTGATAGAAAGAAAAAAAATTTTGATTTTGGAAACCTTTTTTTTTTTATTTTGGAAAAC